CTGCAATGGATAGATACAGGGGAGTCCTCAGGCGTGGTGTCACCCAGAGGGGCCGCCTGGTGACAACGCGTTGGGATGCCATCACGCATGCGCGTAATGACGTCACGCATGCTTACCTGCCGGCAGTGCTAAATAGCAAAGAGAGGAGGAGACGTTCGCCTGGTCGGCATAAGGTATGCCACCGTGTCCCCTCCTCTCTCGTGCAGCTCTCGGTCCATGACTGAGTGCCAGCTTTTCAGAGGGGGCGACCTCACCTTCCAGACAAATTCATGCCGACCTTCAGGCACCGGGTACAACTGTGTCAGCTCGCACTCTACGTCGCCATCTGAATGGTAGGAGACCCGGGAGGACCCCACTGCTGACACAGAGATATCAAAAAGCCCAAACTTCCCCGAGGAAGCCAAAATCCTTCTGGGAGAATGTGCTGGGGACGGACGAAACTAAATGGCAGCTCTGGGGTGCGGCCCGTCATTCTACTGTGATCAGAAAAAGAAATTAGGCCTTCCTCATAAATCCAGTCACACCTGTTGGGGGGTCACTGATGTTTTGGGGTTGCTTTGCTGCTTCAGGCGCTGGATGTCCTGACTGTGTGCACGGCGTTATGAAATCTGAAGGCTACCAAAGAATTCCGGGGTGCAATGTGGGGCCCAGTGACAGAAAGTTGGGTCTCCGTCAGAGGTCACGGGTCTTACAGCAGGACAATGACCCAAAGCCCCCAGAAATGGAGAGTACTGGACGGGCCGGCAATGAGTCCAGATCCGAATCCCATAGAGCTCCTGTGGAGGGAAAAGGAACCTTCCGATCTGAGAGACCCGGAGCAGTCGGGGAAAGAAGAGAGCTCCAGAATTCCTGCAGAGACGTGTAAGAGACTCATTGATGGTCACAGGAAGCCATGGATCCGAGCGCCGGGCTACCAAATATTCACTGAGGGTGCCAATAATTTGGTCCGGTCCATTGTTGGAGTTCTGCGTGAAATGTGTCAGATTTGGCTTTTTTTTCTTTTCCACTTTTTTGTGTCACCGAT